AAGGCATGTGTCTCTGTGGGGGTTTGCCTCCAGAAGTTGTGAAAGCCTCAACACTGGAAGTCTTTAAGAAGATCCTGGATAGCCATTTGCCTGAAACGGTATAGGGCTTCCTGCCTAGGCAGGGGGTTGGACTAGAAGACCTCCAAGGTCCCTTCCAACTCTGCTATTCTATTCTTATCATGGGCAGATCCGGTACCCATGCCAAGCAACCAGTGGTAGCCAAACTGGTCCTTGGAAGTCAAGGGCAGCTGGGAGTCCCAGTTGCCCATCGAGACTTACTCTGATGTAAACATACACAGGACTAAATGGAGCCAGTTACTCACAGGTGGCTCTAAAACACTAAACGGGGGAAGCAAATATTAAACGCGCATTCCTGATTTGCATTCATGCTGCTAGTCCTGTGTAGGGACCGCCAGTGTTTCAGACCATGGAGAAGAGCCTGGGAAAGCTTCAGGCTCAAGGGAATCCTCCTTGGATGCCCTCTTCACCAAGCCAACAGCAAGACGCAACGGTGGCCCAGGAGTTTATAAATGTCCTGGCCAAACTTGTCTCCTGTCCAGAAGGGAGGAGAAAGGACCAAGGAAGAGGAGAAGACGCGGAGCTGAAGCTGGAGGAACTTCGGCTTCCACACACGGGATGCTCTTCCAAAAGGCCCCTGGACAACATTTCCCTTCTCATCCAGGAAGCTCCTTCAGTTCAGAACTTCAGAGGAACCGCTTCCTCCGTCAGCAGCACCCAGGATGGAAAGGCAGACCGAGGACAATCGTCCTTAAGAGAGGCAGCCTCTTCACAATACAGGCAGTTCCTCGCTTAGCGACCGCAATCAGGAACGTCAAGCAAAGCGGCTACTAAGCGAGAAACCGCGAGATTTCCCCTCTCTCCGGCTCAAAAGTGACCAAACTGCACCTAGCCCTCGAGTTATGAACCATTTTCTTAGTGACTGTTACGACAGGGCTGGAAAGAGTTGAGTTTGAGTTTAATAAAAATTTGTATGCCGCCCACTCCCTTGGGACTCTGGGCGGCTCACAAGAAGACAAAAGAAAAACATTTAAAAATTTTAAAATAAAATACAAATATTAAAGATTCACTTAAGAACGGTGGCAAGAAAAGTCAACGGCGGTCTCAGTTCCCAAGAGAACCAAAGAGAACAAAAATGTCCGCTGGCCTTTTTCGGACAACCTGGATGACGGAGAGTCTCCGGGGACACTCGGGAGGAGGGCCTTGCCAGAGGGCAGGGATCCCAGGTCAACTCCCAGCCCTCATCCAGCCCCCCGAGGCGTCCAAGACCCAACCCAACCGGGACTTCCAAACAAACATCTTGAACGTTCCCTCCAGAGACGAGAGGCTTGATTACATAAGGGAAGTACAGCGCGTACCAAAGAGAGCTCAGCTGACCCACCAAACGGAGCGAGAACAATGAGTCCAGGCCGGGGCATCTGACGGCAGCCCGTACAGTCTTATTTACAGTACTCCTTATCAGCCGGGGAACAGTGCGACGGCCTGCCAGTTTCCAAAGGCCAGGACTGGGTGTTCTTTCGCTCGCTCGGGGCCATGTGTACTGGAAGCAGAAACTGCTGCCTGCCTGCCAGCACACACACACAACACACAACACACACACACACACAACACACTCACAAACACACACCTTTCCTGCCCGCCCTGTGCTAAATCAAATCAGGAAAAACCAAAATGTGAGACCGAGCCAGAAATCTTTCAATCTGCACATGGATAAAAAGACCAGGGAAGCATATGTGTGTGTGTGTGTGTGTGTGTGTGTACACACACTCACACAGAGGGAGGCAAAGAGGAGCCAGGGAACACAGCGGCTGCATATGCAAATAGTTCAAGGTTAATTTTACTACGTGAGTCACCAGGAAAATGTCAGCCAGCTTCAGTGCTCATCATGACTCTGGGCTTTCAAGAAAAACAAGGAGAGGGAGATTTATTAAAAGCACAGAACATCGGGGACAGAACACTCAAAAGTCATGCATCGGGGAGGGGAGGGGAGGGCTGGATTCGATTCAACAACAGCCCCCCCCCTCACCCGCGCACGCTCACACACACACACACACACACAGACAATCATAACAAAGCCGAGCAGGACTTTGGAAAAACAAAATTTTTTAAAAAAACCGGGCACCACTTTGGGGAAGCTGCGGGCAGCAGCTCAGGGAAAAAAGACAAAAGCAAGTATTTTTAGCAGGCTGCCTACAGCCGACTTCCTGATGGCCGAGCCTGGCAAGGATGGGACTCCGTGTGCTGCCAAGGCTCTGCGATGGGTTGGAGATGGATCACCCCAGATCCTCTGCCGATCCTCCCCCCCCCTTCAACCAGGTTGGCAAAAACAAGCAACCCTTTCCATGCCACGAGGATCCAGCAGATAGCCCGACCTTCGTGAAAAGATCAAGTTCTAAAGTTGGCCCACTTGCTGTTGTCCCTTTATCNGATATCTTCAAGTTGCCAAGGTTGAGAAACACTGGGATAGATGACCTACTAGGTCCCTTCCAACTCCATTACCGTAATCTGTTCAACTGTTCTGCATGAACCTGGGCAACTTCCACCATCTCATCTCTTGGTGGGAGCCCAGGCTCCTAAACTGCCTTCTCTGATTAGGGGTTGAGTTAACAGCCCAGTTTATTTGTTGCAAGGGACCGGCCGACCTCCTGAAGGAACAAAGCTATTATTCCCAAATTTATAAACAGGCTCTTTTGCCCACAAAGTTGCCAGATCAAAGCCAACACCCGCCATGCTGAAGCCTTGCTGACCACCCAACAGTCTTAACGCTGCTGCTCACGGAGGTAAACATCCCATCCTTAATGACCTGCGTGGCTTGATCAGTACTAAACAGATTTGCTTGCCTTAATACAGTCCAGGAGACAGCTTGGGGAATTCCCTCGTGCTTCTCAGAAGCCGACTTCATGCGGCATGCAAAGTTGCAGCTTGCTTAATCGCAGGTTATTGCAAAAAGCTACCACTGGCCAGTTCCTACCTGCACCAAGTCACCTATTTAGGTTTACATCTCACGGCGTATGGAGCCACACAATCCTCTAAGCCAGGGGTGGGGATCCGGGACCCTTTTATGACGTGTGGACTCCCAGAATTCCTGAGCCAGCCACGGTTCCCCCATCCCTGCTTTAAGCTAACATCAACCAAGTCCCTTGTTGTGACGTCAAAGGACATGGCTGCTCCTCACAGGTCTAGTGCAGGGGGCAGCAACCAGCGGCTCTGGAGCCGCATGTGGCTCTTCCATCCCTGCAGCTTCCTGTTGCTCAAAATATGAGTCACAACCGCCAATGCATGATACCCACCAGCACATGGTTTATTGAGCTTTTCGACTCCTGGCAGGTTTTGTGGCTCATGATCTTTTCTTTTATGTGGGAAACTAATCCAAACGGCTCTTTTGAGTGTTTAGGATTGCTGACCCCTGGTCTAGTGGGCTGACAAAATGTTTGAACAGACTATTGGATAATAAAATGGGTCATCTGGATGAAATCAGTGGCTCTAAGGCCAGGATCTGCCTCTCATCCTCCCCTTGGTTCCCTAATGGCGGTTGATAACCGAACAAAGGATGCCCAATTTCATTTCCTTGAGAACCTTCTCCTACTGACTCCCTCAAAAACCCAGAGAGGGTCTCTCCCCTCCTTTTCTGCTTTAGAGTAGTGGAAATCCGCCATGCTTGTTTTCTCTCCCAGGTTCTGTTTAGCTTGCAGGCCCTTGAGTTGCAAGATGCCTTCACAGTGGAGTAACTGGATCTTCTCCTCACGTCTTGGAAACAACTGTCCCATCCTAGGATGGAAAACTTCTAGAAGGATGCTCAGTTGCTTCGTCTCTCCTGGAGGGGTCAGAGTCTCGCAGACTCCGGGATCTACAGGATGTGGAGCACCAGCCCAGCACCTCAGCTGCTCCCTGGGACACCCGGTTCAAAGCATCTCTCGTTTCATACTGTACGTAAGGACAACTTGATCGCTTCTCCCTGCTGTGGAGCAACTGTCCCTGTCTTCTGGGTGGGAACACCTGCTGATCAGGCACATCGCAGCTCGCCCGAACCCAATTAAACCAGGCATCGATCAAGCCAGAAATGGGGCAACCAGCGTTGAGCAACAGCTGTTGAGCAAAGTTCCACAGCCCTCCTCCCTCTCGCCCTGCCTCTCTCCAAAGTGGGGCCAAGCAGCCCCACCCCATTGGAAAAGTATTGATGAGCTACCTGGCTGTTGCAAGTCTCACGCAACACCCACACCCCTTTTGCTAGTGGTAGAACCAGTCCCAGAAAGTTAACTTTTCCAACGGGAGTTTCTACTCCCAGGAGGTAGAAGCTTTCCATTCACCTGGCCTACCTGTTTCTATTTATAGATTGCACATCTGACCAAGATCAGCCTTCTCAACTGGTATCTTCCACGTGGTTATCAAACATGGACAATCTGGGGCCTTTCGTCCCAGTGGCTCTGGAGCCAGCGTGATTAGAGATAGCAATAGCAATAGCAGTTAGACTTATATACCGCTTCATAGGGCTTTCAGCCCTCTCTAAGCAGTTTACAGAGTCAGCATATCGCCCCCAACAACAATCCGGGTCCTCATTTTACCCACCTCGGAAGGATGGAAGGCTGAGTCAACCTTGAGCCGGTGAGATTTGAACAGCCGAACTGCAGGACTGCAGTCAGCTGAAGTAGCCTGCAGTGCTGCATTTAACCACTGCGCCACCCCGGCTCTTCCCGTTCCTTTCCTGGCCAAGCTCAGACTGTGAAATGTTGAGCTTAAACTGGGCAGGTGAGAACGAGACTTTCTCTTCAATATTAAGAACTTTTAATTTCCTTCAAAGTCAACATCAGCAACACCCACAGAACATACTAGCAAAAACGCTGGTCGAACCGTCCATTTCACTGACACCGCCAGTCCCAGAAAAAGGCCCGGATGAGGAAGAAGGGCCACCAAAAGGCCTCTAAGAGGATATTATCTCCAAGTGCTGAGGAATTTGGACCATCACAACCACGAAGGAGACTTACCAGTGTGAGTCTGCCTGTGACTCTCCAGGGCATCTTCCTTAGAGAATTGTGCACCACAGTGGTCACAGAGAAAAGCTTTGGCACCTGCTGTAAGGAAGGAGAGAGAGAGAGAGAGAGAGGAGAAAAAAATTACGTTAATATCAAGAAGCCCCAACAAATAATTACAGCCGTCACTAAACTGATTCCGAGACATTGAATTGGGCTCAGCACAGCGACCGCAAATTGAGGGCTCCCCAGATAGAGTTGAGTGTATCCAGGGCAAACATTAGTTTTTAACTGAACGCTGGAATGAATCCACGATTTTCACTCAAATATACACGTTTCCTCTTTCCAGGAGTATCACGCTCTTATTTCATCAATATCTGGGCACATTATTTGCATAAACATCCCAACTATCAAATATACAGCCCAGAGAAAGCTGTGCGTAGAGCTGATAAGGGATCTGAACGGTTCCCTGATATCCGAGAAGGTTCTTATTTTTTTTTTTACTTTTTCATTTCCGTGGGTTATGGAGATTTGCAAGATTGGCGGGTGTTTTTTTTTTAAAGCTATCCCAGTATTAAAACCACATTTTTAAATTATTCGGTGGTTGGGGATGTGCTTAGAGCAAGCATCACACTGCCATCACCAAACTAACCCCGAATCAGGCTACCAACAAGCTCTGATTTATAGGTTTTTGTGGCATTTTATTGGGGCTTGGGGATAAATGAAAATCTAAAGAAATGAGCCATATATTGAACATTGGTGTATAGATAGATACACTAATAGGTAGGTAGGTAGGTAGGTAGATGTAGGTAGGTAGATGTAGGTAGGTAGATAGGTAGGTAGGTAGATAGACAGACAGACAGAGATGTAGGTAGGTAGGTAGGTAGGTAGATAGGTAGGTAGGTAGGTAGGTAGGTAGGTAGGTAGATAGAAATCTATTTATACACAAAGAATCATATAAAGCATATGAATAAATAAACAAAACATAAAAAA